CTATGCTTTTCACTCTTTCTGGGCCTAGCTCAGTGGAAACTATAGGGACACTTTCCTGAGGCTGTAGCACATTGCCTTACCTCTTCCCTACCACCAAGCTCTTCCTACCTGGTTGAGTCTGTACAACCTCCTCCCATTCTGGATGTGGCTTGAATTATCCTGTGTGGTATTTGTACTTGACCAAGTAACCTTGGCCAAGTAGCCTCACTCTCTAACCTCAGCTTCTACTTCAGCAGAATAAACATAACAGTGATCATGCATTTTTTCAGGTGGACCACAGATATTGTATATGTTAAGTTCCTGCTCTCATATCTAGCAACTTGGGTGCCCCATCAATGAATAGCACTGTCCTTATTTTTGATAGTGTGGTTCTTATACACTCCAGAAAGCCTTTAGCTTACAGAATGCTCTTCTTCAAACTTAGAAGAAGGATGTCATCTATCCTCTGTCCTCTGATAATGCAGGGAAGAGGATGCTGGATTATAAGGTGGGGTCCTTGGGTCCAACCACAGCTCAGTATCTAGCTGCATCCTCAAAGTTCAGCTTCATTTTTATCACATGTATTGTAAGAAATTTCAGACAGAATTTCTCAGTGACTCTGTAGATGCCTCCTAACTTGTGATTCTATGACTGCAGTCCTTCAGGGGAGAGAAAAAATGTCTGGGAAAAGAGGAACAGAAGTCAAGAAATAAGGGAACTAATGCCAAGAGCACACATAGGATGCATCCCTTCCACGGAGAGACTTCAGTTATTAACACAAATGGTATGGAGTATGAGAAAAAGGCTCTGCAGTCAAAAAGTCCAGATCTAAGTTCTATTTTCACTCATATTTGTTCTGTGGCCTGACACAGATAGCCTGATTTATGATCCATATAGACTAGAGTGGCTAATGCTTATCTCATAGGCTTGTTAGAATTTGGTTCTCTATTTCATCAAAATTATCAATGTTTCTAGTTTTGAAAGAATTTTTTCATAATTTGAAGATCAATGATCAGTGGCTCCATGATTCTTAGAAGAGAACACTAATAAATAAAATTATGGCACTCTTTTTCTCCTGTGTTTCTCCTCTTCAACTTCTTCTGTACAAATGTTCAAAGAATACAACATCAATGTTAAACAGAAATACAACTTTCTGATTTGAAGAAATGAAGTTTGATTCATCCTACCAACCCAAGAGATCCATGAATTTAGATATGAAAGCAATAGATTCACCTCCATAAACCATTTTCCTTCCCCTTTAGATAAGAGAAGCTCCCTCCTCTACAGACAACAGAAGAGCAATGTCACTACTCAGAATTATTAAATGAAATTAATAAATTTAAAAAATTAAATTAAATTTTAAATTTAATTTAAAAAATTTTTTAAAAATTAAATTAAATTTTAAAAAAAGAATCTGAGGAGGAGCTAGTGAAACAGGCAGTTGACCTCAGGAGACCAGGAAGGCTCAGCATGGTGGTGCCCACCTGTATTCCAGCACTCTAGAGGCTGAGGTGAGAGGATGACAAGTTTCAGTCTAGCCAGGGAAACTTAGTAAGACTGCCTCACAATGAAAAGCAAAAAAGCCTGGGGATGTTGCTCAGTCTGAAGGCCCTGGGTTCAATCCCCACTACTACACTGAAAAAGGAAAGGAAGAAGAAGAAAAAAATACCAAGAGGAAATGCCATCTCATCTTTGAGGGGAAGGTGGTCACCATATCAGACTCTTGTGTAGGCAGAGAGAACCTGGGAAAGCCACTGTTACTACATTTTTAAATGAAATTAGTTACAGTGCACCCTTATAATTCATGGAAACTAACATATAATGCATGTTAAATTCATGTATTTAGCACAGTAACTATGCAGTTCTGTTCACTGCTTCAGTGGATGGAGGCTGTGGATCACACCCATAGCAACTGGCTGTTCTGAGCCTTCCACGTGGTCTGAGTACAAGAGATGGCCGCATCGTTCACTGTTCTTGTACAACCACACTTAGAGAAGTTGGAGGGGAATAGTAAGGTGGCTGAGACAGAGTTCTTCCTAATACCAGCTTCCTTGAGTGTCTCCACATCTGTGCCACGAGTTGTGTACTTACTATATGTACAAAAAACCACTGCTTATTGTAATTCTTCATTTAAAAAAAAAATGAGTGAGTGAGTTTTAAAGCTTTTCCTTTAGAGATAAACATCTCAGTCCTCATTCTTAAAGAAAAAGGAAAAAAAAAAACAATGATGGGCTCAGGATTGGGGAAGCCACCAATCTTGACTAAGCAGGGCCACTGTCAGGACTTGGGCTGCAGTCTCTGTTCTGCAGAATACAGACCGCACCCTGGAGCTCAGTCAAATACTGTGTCTCTTACCAGAGGAAAGGAATTCCAGAGAATAACGTCTTCCAGGGAAAACAGAGCTGAGACTTGGAAAAAGAGAGGAGACTGGAGGTGAGGGAGAGGAAGTTAGAAACGAGTCAGAAAGACAGCAGGACAGAGAGGCAAAGATTTCTAAAACCAGTGTTTGGCACAAGAACCCTCATCTCTGTTTAAAGTCAGCAACTCTCTGGGCTCTTCCACTGGCATGGAGATATTGTTATTTCTCTTTCTTTGGTTAAGGTTGCCATTCTGTCATTTCAGATAATAAGCATCTTGATGAACATGACCCCGTATGTGTCTAGTCCGATATAAAACGTAGCTAAATTCTATAGCAACTTTCTCCACCCTGATGGGTGAACATAACTTTGAACATGCAGCAGACTGGGTTGTGAGACCCAAACTGGAGCTCAGTCACAAGCTTTCCACTTGGGGCTGTGCTACAGGAAATTTCTAAGAAAACAAAGGTGACTTTGATGCTGGTTTCTCTTTAGTGCTCCCCCTACAGCCAGATTCTCATTGCTCCTATTCAAGGAACAATAATCTGATACATTTTATTGATATTTAAAGGTTAATGAACTTACATTTTACTTCTGACAATATAGTTGCATTTCATAAGGGGTAAAGAAAATATATAATCTAAAAATGAATTTCTGGTGGATAAATTATAAAGATTGTAGTACATAGCTGAGGAAGATATTTCCTGTTGAGGAAATTATCCTATCTTCATGAGAAACTACAAAAGTGGTGTTTTAATTTTCAGAAGCTCAGACATCTCTTTATATTGCTTAAAATGCAGATAATGATTATGCAAGGGATCAACTCACAAGGCATATAATTCTTAAAAAATAATTTATAGTTACTTCTGTCAAGATCTTTCAGTCCAAACACACAATGTCCTAGTTCCCCTTGACTTGCTGCTTGTTGGTAAAGTGCCCTCAGGGACTCTTACCAGCAGGCTGTTCTTTACTATCTGGGTGCATAAGCCATCAGAGGATGGAAACTCAAGGTTTCACTCTCATGTGTTCTTCAATAAGACACAGCCATGTGATTTCTAATATTTCAAGTCACTGAGCATACTGACAAGACAATAAATAAATGACTGATTTATAAAATCAGAACATTTATCAAAACTTAAAAGAAACCTTGACAATCCTGCATTTATAGAGGAAAAGGAAAATAATGCAAGTATTTTCTGGACAGGTTTCCCTCATGTGCTTTCCAGCCAAGATTCACTTTAAACTGCTCTAGCCTATTTTTGAACAATTTGGTCTTTCACTTTCTCTGTTTTCCTTTTCAGCCCTTTTTCTCTTCATTGTCTTTTCTTCTCAAATGAGAATTCCTTCAATTATTTGCTTAATATTTATTGGAAAACTAGTGGGTTCTGAGCACTATGTTCAATACTTAGGATTGGACCTGAGAAAAGGTTCTCTGCTACCATGGTTTTCTGTTGCTGAGTAACAAATTATCACAAAATTAGCAGCTTGTCAATGCCCGTTAGCACCCAATTTTATAGCATGGCAGGAATCTCTGCTCAGGATCTCATTTGACTAGAGTTGAGGTATCAGACAGTCTGGGAACATATGCACAGATTCTGAGGACAAATCTACTTCCAAGCTTATTCAGGTTGTTATCAGAATTCCTTGCATTACAGACTAAGGGCCTCATCTCTTTGCTGTCTGTCCTCTAGGGCCACTATCAGCTCCTTTGGGCCACTCAGATTCCTTTTCATGTGTTGCCATCCATCAGTGTGTGACATCCTCCTCATGCTTAGAATCTCTCTTTTTGGCCACAGCTAGTGAGTACTCTCCTTGCAAGGTTATGTGTGGTCACACTGGGCCCTCTGCCTGGCTGATCAAGGCTAATTTCCCTGAGATTATGATAAAACATCTCAGACTGATATCACATACTCAAATCCCAGGTACAAGCATGGGACATTTGTGAGGGCCTTTTTTATGAATGCAGCCTATAATATCTGCTATCAAGGTGATCCCAGCTCAGTGGACATTAGCAAATAAAAACATTACAATAGATAATTGTGGAAAAGACAATATGGTAAAACAAAGGCAGTGCATAGCTACAAGGAACTATTATTCAGCCACAGGAAAAAAGAAAATCTGGCCCATACCACCACATGAATGATTTTTGAAGACATTATCTAAGTGAAAAAAGCCTTTGATTCTGTTTTTATGAGGTACCCATCAATGATACATTCATATCAACACAGTACAGTAGCACTTGCCAGGTATAGGAGAATGAGAGTGAGAAGTTAGTGTTTTATGAGTATAAAGTTTCTGTTTGGAATGGGGCAAAGTTCTAAAAATGAATAATGATGATGGCTGCAGAGTACTTTAAATGTAACTAATGACACTAACTTATACACTTCACAATGGTTTAAATGAAACAGGGATATTGATTTTGTGGACATGGGAAGGGGTTCTAGGAAAGGGAGATGGAAGAGAGAGGTGGGGAAGGAGAAATAAAAAGGATCCAGTTGTAATATGTATATATACCAGTTCTCCATGATGAATGTATTTATCAAAAACATACAGCAATAAAAAGGAAAATGGTTTAAATGATAAACTTCATGTTATAGATGTCTTACCACAACAACATAAAATTTAAAAAGAGAGAGGGATATAGGAAAAGAGAGCAAAACTTACCTCCTGAAAGAGCCAATTGTCACATTGGGGAGGAGATAAGTCAGACGCATGAGGATGAGGACAGAGTGTAAACTGTGTGGTGGGAGGGATACTGTCATAGTTTTATTTCCTTTTGGACATGGCAAGCTGAGAGTAACTTGTCCATTATTTTAATATGGCCCCTTCTCACATGGGCTGTGTGGAGAGCAAGCCTGTTTAGAAACACTGGCAGTTCTAGGACCTAAGTGTTTGTGGTAGAGGTGTGAATTAAGTAGTTGTCACTTATTAAATGCCACATTAGTAACCCTGCATTCATCTTGCTTCTAGGAAATAAAAGAAAGAAGAGACACAGAGAATGATCTCTACTCTATGCTACACACCATGCTCACAACACAGATGCCTTGCAATAACTGCAAAAGAGTAAGTTCAGCAATGGGAAGAGTCACATCTGAAAGAGATAGAGCTGGGGTTATGTGAGTTCAAAGCAAGGTCTTTCAAGGGTGACTTACAGGTATCTGAAAATAGAGGAACATAGAACTCAATGAACTAGACTACCTCTTCAAACCTTAACTCTTGCATTATTTCCTTTATAATTATTCTAACCTCCAGAGCCTTTACACTAAGCTACATAACTTTATCCTTTTTAATTTCTTACAATTTTGAAACAGGGCTTCATTAAGTCATTCAGTTGCCCAACCTGGGCTTGAATTTGCTGCAGTCTTCCTGCCTCAGTCTCCTACAGTGTTGGGATCACAAGAGTGTGCACCATGCCAAGCTGGCATATCCACTTTTCAAATGCCTTGACTTACAAGTGACAAAAATTTATGCTTACATTTCATCAGCAAAAACTGGTTACATGGCCCCGACAGATAAAACAGTAGAGACAAGTGCTTCTGAGTGTTGTTATAGCTTGTGTCTAGATATCCCCCCAAAGCCTCATGTAGTCATAGGTGGAACTTTTCAGAGGTTGCTGGGTCTAAGGTATATGATGCTGTCATTAAGCATGTATGATTACTGATGTAGTCCACTGATTGGTTTGGCATAGTTTTGGGTTTGGATAATGGGAAGGTCCACCTTTGGTACATGTGGCATCACCTAGGTAGCCTAGGTGGTTATAAAGGAACAGAAAAAAGGTAGCTTACTGCTGCTTCCTCCATACTATGCTGCTTTCTTGCCCTCTTGTCTTCTGCCCACCATGAACTGTTTCTCCTCTGTGATGCCCCTCTGCTATGGCACCCTTGGAATCAGCTAACTATGAAATGAAACCTCTACAAACTGTGAGCTAAAATAGACCTCTCCTTCTTTAACTGTTGGTGTTGAATATTTTGTCTCAGAAACAAGAAAAGTGGCAATTCTACAGTGGAAACAGAACAAAAATTTGTTGGACAGTCTGCCATCTCTCTTAAGCTGCCAGTCTGATCTAAGCTGTGACCTCATGTATGGCACAAGACAGTGATATTTTTAATCAGAATTTTATTCCTAGGGATATTGTTTTAGAACTTCATAGAGAATGTAGCACTTAGCAGAAGAGCTAAAGTGGAAAGATTATATTCAGGTAAGGTCATGGCCACGAATGATTACTAGAAGCTCAAATCATGGGGAAGCAAACAGGGTTGTTTTTCTTGTCTTTCTTTTTGGTTTTTTTTCTTTTTTTCTTTTTAGCTTGGGTCTTGCTATGTACTCCAGGTTGGCCTTGAACTCACAATTCTCCTGCCTCAGTTTCAGCCTCCCAAGTGCCATGCCTGACTGGGAAAGCAGAAATAATGAGTACTCAGAAACCTTGATGAGTATGCAACTCAACAGGAAGAAGGTAACTAGCTGATATCTAAGAGAACCTGTTTCATGCTAGCAGCAGAGCATTGTAGTGAAACCCTTTCAGTTCATCCATGAGGACCCCTAGAGCCGCTTTGGATCTAGAGCCAACTCTTCGGAGTCTTGACTATTTTTGGCCTTGAGTTGCCCCTAACACCTTCCCCGCAACTGTCACAAACATCTGTTTACACTATTCTCCCCATTGCTGTCTACTTCCTGTTACTGAGAACATTTCAGTAGTTGTTCTGTAACGTATGAGGGTGCAGTTCACTCTGACCTTTTTCAAGGTTAAAAAAAAAACATTCATTTGGAATACAAAAACACTGGCAAGTAATTACCTCAGGGACTCCTGTAAGCATGTACATCTCGGAGAGAACAGTGCAATTCACCCCACACACTGCCATCAAGTTACTCTTCCTAATGCATTCCGTTAGCCATGTCACTTTCCAGCTTTCAAATGTCAACATTTCTCTGTTGCCTAAAAAGATAACAAACTTCTATCAGCTGGGGCCTCCACATTCTTGAGCCTGTCTAGCCTTCCAATGTATACAGATTTTATATTTTCTGGTAAAGCTGCATATCTTGCATTTGCCAGCGTGCACTGCAGAAACTTACCTACACATGCTTGTTCATGCTGCTTTCTCTGATGAAATCATCTCATTCTCAAAGCTGGAGTACTTCTTTTTTTTTTTATAAAATCTCCACCTCTCTAGCTTTTTCTATAAACTTTCCTATTAGCAAGCACTTTATCCAGAGAATCTTTATTATATTGCTTACCATATGCTCTTTTATAGTATAGTTTGTGCATGTATGCTTTTTTAGTTTTGTGTAAACTTCCTCCAACCCCCTGAGCTCAGTTCCTGAATCTGATTCATCTATGTACTCTGGAAAGATACATTTGCTATGTGCACATTCATATGAACAAATGAATTAGGGAGTATGATGAGTAAAGAGTCATGATACCTATGATTTGAATGTAACTGATCAAAACGACCATGCTTTACTGTTCTTAAAAAGCAAACCTATTTGACTATAAAGAAATCAATCGGCAATCTTACTTTTCCGTTTCTGCCCAGCTCTGCATTCAACAGGACAGGAGAAACACAGGTCAGAGGAAGTGAGCCCTCTATGTTTTCATACAACTTACTCAGGAGTTTGCACCACACTTTGTCATTTGTCAAGGCTAACATGCTCTTCAGCACAAAATCACATCGGATGAATTATGGTTTCCTTCTTGATCTGAGTAGCAGTAACCCATGGCCACATCTAGTTAGTGTTTACAGACATTAACCACCATTACAAGAGATTCAGACTTCGTGTGGAATCACTTAAGCAGCAATTTGGCAGGAGGCTAAAATAGCTGGGTTACTCAGTGTCAAATCCATTTTGTATACTTTCTTGGGACTGCTTGAGGCAAAATGAAGTTATTGGGGCCTGCGAGGTGCAATAAATTGACTTCTAGTGATACTTCTTCAATGTCAGGCAACTGGGTATGTGTGTTATGAAATTAAAAACATATAGGTGTATATATTGTAAATCAAGGCGTTTTCTTCCCTAGATTAAGGTCTGTTTGGGGGCCTGCTCTTTTACCCATGAAAGGTTAAGCTGTGTTTATTTTTCCCCCTCAGGAGCAGCACCTCATGAGGCTACATAATTCCAAGAGATATCAAAAAGTAATCTTCTCTGCTCCCTCGTGAGCTTCACAAGTTATTTCCTGAGGGAAAGAGAAGAATTTTATGATTTATCAGCTGCCTTTTTTAAACACTGCACAAGTGAATTATTGCAATCTGCATGGAGCTCTCAAAATAACCACTGTGAACCCTAATCATCATTCAATCACTGAAGAAGAGGACAAGGAAATATGACCAGTGTGTAGTGGCAGTTCTTTTCTTGAAGCCAGAAAGGAAAAGATTCATATAATCATTAAATTTTGTCACAAGTCACTATATTGGAGAGACGTGAAAAATTTCATCAAAGGGGAGGCAGTTAAAAGGAGATACTTCACCTGCATTATTTACACTAGGAGACTGTCAAATTTTAATAGAAGCAGATGGCAAAGGTGAAGTTTTCCCTTTGCCTTCCCTTATGTGGTACTGGTGGCTGAACTCAGACCATTGCATATGCTAAACAAATGCTTTTCCATTGAAATATATTCCAGGCCTTTTCATTTTTGAATTTGAGACAGTCTCTCTAAGTTGATCTGGCAGGCCTCAAATTCAGTCTCACTGTTTTAGCCTCTTGAATAGTTGGGATGAGATTTCTTTAAGATAGAATGTATCTTTGAACAAAAAAGGTTGTCGCTCTTCTATACCTTTTTTTTAAAATTTTTCTTTCACTACCAGGTATTCAATCCAGGTCCTTCACCTTGAGTTAATCTCAAGCTCTTCATTATTTTTGGTTTTCAGAGAGGGTCTCATTAAATTGCTTAAATTGCCCCCCAGGATGGGCTCAAATTTGTTATCCTTTTGCCTCTGGCTCCCAGAGTGCTGGAATTATGAATGTGTACCACCATGTGTGGCATAGCTCCTGTTTAAATTCAATTGCTATTATGGCAGTGTTGGAAATTGGGGCCCTTAAGAGGTGATTAGGTTGTGAAGAGGGATCAGTGCCCTTCTCAAGGGACCAGGTTAATTCCCCGAATAGTGAGTGAGCTCTCACAAGGCCAGATTAGCTACTATAAGAATAATATAGTTGTTATAAAGTGAGGTTATTCTCACATTTGTCTTTTGCATCACCTACTTGCCCTTATACTATCTCCCATGAGTCAGTGCAGCATAAGTCCCTTGCGAGGAGCATAACAGAGGCCAAGGCCTTCCCAGCCTCCAGAACCATGCTCCAAGTAAACTTCTTTCCTTATGAAGTACTTGATCTCAGATATTTTGTTATAACAACAGAAAACAGAGTAGGGCAGAAGCCTTTAAAATTTTTGAAAACTGCAACCTTACTGAATACTGCATATATACAGGTACTTCCCAATATGCTTTCTGTAAATTATCATTTATACACAACACTGACTGATAATAAAAATTGCTAAGTACTATATTCATTTTATAGAAGAAGAAATGGTTGCTCAGTGAAAAGCAGAGATGTGTTCAGAGCATCATAGCTAATTATTTGTGTTTCTGGCTTCCAACTCATATCTGTGGTCCTAAAATCTAGTTTATTTCTATCCTATTTATAGTAATTCAGGATACATGGTTTCTAGATGTGTGTGTGTGTGTGTGTGTGTGTGTGTGTGTGTGTGTGTATTTGGTATTTGGGCTAGGGTCTCACTATGTAATTCAACTGGCCTTGTACTCACTATAGAGCCAATGTTGGCCTTCTATTCAGCGTAGGTTCAAGCAAAGAGCCTTGAACTCACTGGTGATTTTCCAGGCTGCTTGGATGCCTAGATTACAGGTGTGTGCCACCACACCTAGTTGGTCCCCAGATTATACAAACAAAACTAACTGGATCATGGAGAAATTTTTAGATATGGTCTCCAGCTTTATTTTGGAGCCAGATTTAAGAACCATCTTAATGTGAGCAAAATAAAAGGCTGTATTTGGGTAACTGATTTACATACAAATTAAACTGATGTCCCAAAATAGAATGCTTCCTCTCTTTATACCACCTATACAGACCACAAGCTTCTCCTTTTCAGGCGGCATTAGGTTTCTCTGTGGTAACATTTATGGGTTCCAACATACCATAGATTCTCACATTGCTGGTGTCTAAATAGATAGAGGCATAAACTATGTACTCAATACACAGAAGTGCAATCTCATTTTTCTGATCGATGGAAATTTGATTATACTGATTTTTTTTTTTTTTTTTTTTGCTGCTTCCCACCTCTCTCAGTCTTTTTCAGTGTGTTCTTTCTTGTCTTCCTCTTGTCCACTAATTGACTATACCAGCCCTGAACCTTGGGGATTTCTCAGGGTACTGTGAACCCATTCCATCATCCAAGGCAAAACAATTTTCTTCTAAAATAAACTGGCACTACATTTGAAGACTTTCAGTCTTCCTGGATTATTCTTTCTGTTTCAAGGGTATTCCTCTTATTTTTTTTTTATTTCTTTTCTAGCAGATGTGGTCTGTACTGACAGATGAATGCATGTTTAGCCACATCATATACCCCTTAACTGTTACTCATATCACAATCTTTCAGGCACCCATGATCTCAACAATTGTTGTATAGCTCCGTTCACCATCTTGGCTTCCTGTCTTATATGACTGTCAAATTACTCCTTTATCTGCTTGACCATCTGTATTTAAACCTCTGCCAAAGAGAAATTTCCTCATCACTGGGTATAATTTGGAAAAGAAATATTTGCCTCATTAATAACATCATCAAGGATTTCCCAAGTAGCCCAATTAAAAATCCATACACTATCTTTTCAAATTCATAAACCTTAGAGTTAGCCAGATCCTGTGCTGGAAGAATCCCTAATAATGAGTCTGATCACTGGCCACCAGTTTGGCTTCCTGCTGGGTAGCATTCTATACACACTGCCAGGTGAAATAGCTTTTTCCAACTACTCCTTAACTACATTGGTTTATTCCAATTGAGAGCCTTAGTATGGATAACCATCTTAATGCTCTTTATCTCTTTCTTTTGCCATTCTCTCTCTCTCTCTCTCTCTCTCTCTCTCTCTGTGTCTCTCTCTGTCTCTCTCTCTGTCTCTCTCTGTCTCTCTCTCTCTTTCTCTCTCTCTCTCTCTCCTTATTCTGTCTCTCCCTCCTTTTCTTATTTTTATATGCAATATGCCTAATCCACAAAACACCCAACACTTACTCTACTGCTGTCCCATGTGTCTCTTTGGATGTGTAAGTCTGACAGAAGACTCCTTTAGGGAAGCAATCTTGTCCTAAAATCTTCACATCCCAACAATATTCAACAAAACAACCAATAGGTTCTCAAAAAGTATTCCTTAATCTTGTTTCAATTTGCTCTGAACTATCTGTAGAATCATTAAGTGCAGTATTTTAAGGAGCAGATTCAATGCAATCCAGTGTTCTTTCTTCACACAATCAAATATATCTTTGCTTTGTTTTGTTTTGTTTTTGGAGACAGGGTCTCATTATGGAGTTCAGGCTGGCCTTTAACTTGTTCCTGTAACCAGGCTGGCCTGGAACGCACAATGATCCTCTTGCTTCAGTCTCCTGAATGCTGGGATTAGAGGAATGCTTCACTCTGCCTGGCAATCTAATATGTCTTAAATTAAAGAAAAATAAAGTTCATCTGAGAATTTTGGCTGGGGGGAATATCATTAAGTTAAACTTCATCACTAGCCCAATATTGGCTCAAGATGATACTAATTTGGGGAACTCTCAATTGCTTGAGTTCTAGTTACTCTCTTTTTGTTTGTTTGTTTTTTGTTTTTGTTTTTCTGAGACAAGATCTTGATATGTATTCCAAACTAGCCTTGAACTCACTATGAAGCCCAGGCTAGCTTTAAACTTGCAGTGATCCTCCTGACTCAGGCTCTTGGGTGCTGGGATTACAGGTAGTTACTCTTGATCCTCTTAGGAATTGTATACCCCTGCAGGATCGTGCAGGACAGATGCAACATTTGCTTACAAATTTCCTAAGTGAATTCCCAACGAATATTCATCATAGTTGAAAAATAACATAGCTATACCTTAGAAGACAAAGATTATTCTAACTAAACTATTTAAATGCCAAAGAAAGCATAAGCTGCATATTTTATGTGCTTGCAAATGAATATAACAAATACTAAGTAAAATAATGATAACTGATTTTATAAGAACTTTATAATGGGGCCAGGGATTTAGCTCAGTGATATAAGCACATATCTGGCAAATGCGAGGCTGTAAGTTTAATCCACGGTACAAAAAAAAAGAACTTTATAATGATTTCTGTTGTCATTATAATCTAATTTACTTACTAAATGGCTAATCATTCAACTCTGTAACTTCAAGAACATTAATATAAACCTAAAGATCTAGATCCTGTTTTATATTTACTTTTTAAAAATGTTTAATGTACTATCTTTAGTAACTGCTATTTGCACTAGCTACTCTAGTCTTTAATAGGAATCATTACACATTGAGCATATCTAATCTAAAAATCTGAAATGCTCCAAATCCAAATTTTGTAAGTAATATAATATCACAAGTAGAAAATTCAATACTGTGAAACTTTATTTAATATACAAAAATATTAAAATATCATATAAGATTATTCTCAGAATATCTGTATAAGAACTATATGAAATATAAATAAATTTCATGTTTAGACTTAGGTGACATTTCCCAAATATTTCATTATGCATATGCAAATATTCTAAAATATAAAAGAATAAAATATGTGAAACAGTTCTAGTCCCAAGCATTTTAGGTCAGGGATAGTCAAAGTTTATCACTTCAAAGTTTTCATATGTGAGATATATGTCCCTACCCACCTAATCAAAGGCAAAGTTATATTTGCAGTTAAAAAATCATTTGTTTCCATAACAAAAATCTTTCTCCCTTCCTCTATTATATGTTGTCCCTAATTAAGGATAATAATTATAATGTGAAAATTACCTTTACAGTTTTCCTAATCTTAGAAGTTTTGATACTTAGTAGCTCAAGAATCCTTTTAAAATAAGTATCTCACAAGTTTGTTTTGTGGATATATACAAGTTACATAGAGCATTCAGTTTGTTAACAATTTGTTCTGACTTATTCCACATAAATGGACCTTGCAATCAGTGTTTAAGGCACCTACTTGGCCACTGTCAAAATATATTCAATCCCAACATTATACCTTGAAAGTATTCATTTCTTATAGGTGCACAATTCCACCACATGCCATCATACTAACCGATTAGTAATCATACTTTTATTCAACTAATAATAATTAAGAATAGAATAAGCCTGGTACTCTAATCAACATTAAACATAGATGCAGGGGCTGGGGATTTAGCTCAGCGGCATAAGTGCCTGCCTTGCAAGCAG